GATTGAGCCTGAAAGGAGAGAAAGAGGGAGTTTGAGAGAGAGAAAAGGAGCAAAAAAACACCCCAAAATCCAACCAGCGCGCACACACACACGCACACACTCACACACAAGCCCCATCCCATCCACGTCCTCCCTCGATCCTCGATCTTTCCCTCCCCCCTTCTTCCTTTCCTCCCTCCCTCGCTCCCTCTCTCTCTTTTGCACGCGTCTGCCAGCAACGGTCTGCAGCCGGTCAGAACTCGTCCTCTTCCCCGGGAATCTGCGAGCTCCCCCTTTTCCTCCGATCAGGCGGAGGGAGGCAGCTCGAAGTTTACACCCCTGTGCCGCTGCCAAAGCCGAAAGCCTTTTTCTTCAGCTGCCGCTTTTTCCCTCCTGGGTTTTGTTTTTGTTTTTGTTTTGCACGGGGTGGGGTGGGGTGCGTTGTTGGTTGCGGGGAAATGGTGGGAGGCTGGTTTTGATTTTTAAATTTTGCATTTTTTTCTTTTTTTTTTTTTAAAGCACAGGGGAAGAAATTGAAAAAAATTTTTTTGTTGTCTTTTGTTTACCTGGCGTGTGTGGCAACCGGCTTGCTCCCTCTCTCTGCTTGCTATCCCTGACCTTTCTTTCTTTTTGCTCCTTTTCAAAAAAAAAATATTAATTTCCCCCTTCTGTGCAATGGAGCATGGGGGGGGGGAGGAGGGGGAAGGGTTTGAGAATCCACCCAAGCCCGGCCCCTATTCCCCAGAACACCAATAATAACCCCCTTTAAAACATTTACCTTCCTCCCCTGCTCCTCCTCCTCCCCCCTCCCCCCACCCGCCCCCAACTCACAACTCTGTTGAGTCCAGAATCTCAGAATCGGGCGTTGGGCTTTGCCGGGTGCTTCAGATCAATGGTAATTATTTAATTTTTTCCAGTTTTATTTTTGTAAACAGAAATCAATTATTATTTAAACTTCAAACAAGCAAACAACCAAAAAAAAAAAAAAAAAAAAAAAAAAAAAAAAAAAAAAAAAAAAAAACAAAACCGAGAGAGCCCATCCCTCTGTCACCTGACTGAGTGGGAAAGAGGGTGAAGGGGTTGTGGGAGGCTGGGGAAGGGGTCGCAAGAAGACCCATGTAGCTTTTAACCCTAATGTGGCCGAAACAAGCACCTTATTTGTGCTAACAAGAAGTGTTTTGTTCATTATTACTGTGATTAACATTAGTGCTCGTGTCGATAACAAAGCTGAAATCACATATTTAGGATTTAGGTCTGATTAAAAAATGCTGGGGTGGATGTTCCAACTGGATCAGGAGAAAAGAAAATGAAAACAGCCTGGGGAGAGGGAAGCCTGATCTGTTTCCTCACTCGCTTGCTCGTGGATGTCATTTTCTCTCTTCTTGGGGGTGGCCAAAAAGCGACCGGTGTCGGGGACCAGAGGCGGCCCCGCACGCCCCCGCATGTGCGTCCACGGGCGTCTGTGCAGACGGACATCGCACCGGGGCGAGCTGACAGGAGTTCACGGCTGCGATAGAACATGGAGATGTCATGGGCGCGACAGAGCCTGGCGGGGATACCAGCAGCGTGTGTGTGTGGACGGCAACGTTGTCTGTGCGCGTGTGTGTGAGTGAGTGAGGGAGAGAGAGAGAGAATAGGTGTGTGTACAGGCTCCCGGTGCCTCTGTCTGGCTGCTGAGGCTGAGATGGGAGCAAGTGGCTGGCGAAGCTGGTGGTGGCTTCAAACCACACTTTTATAGAACAATCGCAAGAGAAAATTGTTGGGAGGAGGGAGGAGGAGGAGAAGGCAGTTTTCCTTGTGCCCCCCCCCTTTCTAACGCTGCTTTTCTCCTTCTCTCTTTCCCCCTCATCCCGTCTTCCCCTCCTCCCGTCCTCCCTCGCCCCGCATGCTCCCGGCTTGCCGCCTGCAGGATGAGTTCCACCCGTTCATCGAGGCACTGCTGCCTCACGTCCGCGCTTTCTCCTACACCTGGTTCAACCTGCAGGCGCGGAAGCGCAAGTACTTCAAGAAGCACGAGAAGCGGATGTCAAAGGACGAGGAGCGGGCGGTGAAGGATGAGCTGCTGGGCGAGAAGCCCGAGATCAAGCAGAAGTGGGCATCCCGGCTCCTGGCCAAGCTGCGCAAAGACATCCGGCCCGAGTTCCGCGAGGACTTTGTGCTGACCATCACGGGCAAGAAGCCCCCCTGCTGTGTGCTCTCGAACCCCGACCAGAAGGGCAAGATCCGGCGGATTGACTGCCTGCGCCAGGCTGACAAGGTGTGGCGGCTGGACCTGGTCATGGTGATTTTGTTTAAGGGGATCCCCCTGGAAAGTACTGATGGGGAGCGGCTCTACAAGTCGCCTCAGTGCTCGAACCCCGGCCTGTGCGTCCAGCCACATCACATTGGAGTCACAATCAAAGAACTGGATCTTTATCTGGCTTACTTTGTCCACACTCCGGGTAGGTTGTTCTCAACCTTTTTTCCCCCTCATTTTGTTTTACTTGCTGGCATTTGTTCTGTTTATTGTTCCTCTTATTTCCAAGCGATAACTCACCATGGGCCTAACTGGTATATGCCCATCCTGCTGGGCCTGCAACACGTTCTATGTGCCCTTTTCCTTTTTTCCGTCTTCTGTCTCCCCCGACCTGCGCTATTCCTCTGTCCCCTGGCCATGTTACTGACTTTGTGCATCTCCATCTTTGGAGGACTCATCTGATCAGAAAGATGCTGCAGGTCTTAGGATTGGGGACATGATGCCCCCAGAATTATCCATGATGGTGAGAGTTTGAGAAGAAGAACGGCAACAGCGAACCAATCATTGCTCTTATTAAAATAAGTCAGAAGAAGTATTGAGGGTCAGGTGTTAGTTTTCCTGCAGCTTCATCTCAAGTCCCAGGAAAAACCAGGTTTGGTATAAGCGGGATGGGCAGCAGTCTGGTGGAGAGAAGGGGCATGTGAAACCCTAGGATATGAGACTGAATGAATAGAAAAGAGGAGAGAAGACGGTAGTGGGCAGATTCTGTGGCCTAGATGCTCAGGCGGGAGCTGTGTTGGCTGGGATTTGGCTGTCAGAGAGTATGAAAGTAATTTGATTTCATACAGAGTGAAAACAAGCACGAGATTCCTTGAGCTCTTTCCCTTCTCCTTATTACAGCTAAAGTGGCAAGGCCTCAGGATGGATGCCCACAGCCCTGACACTCTGCTAGGGGGCAGATCGGCTTTCTCAGGGCACAGGCATGGCTGGGAGCAGCGTTGCTGTGGAAGAGGTCTTAAGCAAACAAACAAACAAACAAAAAACTCTGTTAAATCTCCTTTTCCTTTTTTGTTCCAAGTAGTTCTGCTTCTCCTCTTCGCTTTTCCAGTTTTACCCTGCATTTTGGGTCAGGGTGGTTTAGTTCTCCTCCTCTGTTCCTTTTTTTGCCTTTACCCTTTCCCTTTTTATAATTTCTTTCCGCTTTTGTTTTCTTACAAATTGAAACAGAGATGGCTGGTTAATTTTTAGCCTCCACTCAGCTACGCCCAATTTACTGCCGCCTTTGAAACCTAAACGGGCGGCACTCTGTGATTAAGCAAGGCAGAAGTGTGTTTACATTATGCCCAACCAACTTGTAATGAGAGGGCTACCAAACCTTTCCGTGTGTGTGTGTGTGTGTGTGTGTGTGTGTGTTTCCTTTCCACCATTCCAGTATTTTTTCCCCTTCATTTCCCTTTTTCCTCTCTTTATGCGAATGTGAGAGAATGTGGCTTAACTTCAACTCTCGTAAAGGTTGTTTCCCGCGAGTGTGTGTCTCTGTGTCTTCCTTCCTGTTCATTCACAAAAAAGAAAAGCAACTCACAATGGCTTTGGTCATCCCGTTGCCTGTTTGGGAATTTGGGAGGAATAATATAACTGGATCCAGAAACAAAATTTGGGTTTGGGGGTGCTTTCAGCACTGCATCAGGAATGTAATCTAGACTAGAGTACGCCCTGAGTTTATATTTTGGAGGACTGTGAAGAGGAGAAGGTGCTATTGGAATTCTTGTCCTTATAGGTTGTTCTAGTAACTGGTTAGAAGCAGGGGACACCACTCTCACCCTCCCTCATCCTTACCTACTTCCGTGGATCTTTCTATCTAGGCCTGCACCTGGCCCTGTGTGGCCATCTCAACCCCTTACGCAGAAGGGCCAGGTGCCAGTCATTCCCCCTTCCTTCAGCTAAAATTTTTTCTTTTGTCTTTTTTCTTTTTGGAAAAGAGTCTGAGGGGGAAAAAAGGTTATTGCCCCATTCTCTGTCTATACAGCAAGCCAGAGTGGGAAGAGTGTGTGCCTGGTGGTGCTGGAGGTGGCTGGTGACTTGCAGAAGACTTGAAGCCTTGAGCTTACCAGTGTGGTAAGGGGATTCTGCTCCTTCCAATTTTAGAACCAGGGGCTTGAAGGTAGGATGAAAAGTGTGTGAGAAGGAAACCGAAACCTGGCCAGATGAAAGGCCCCCCCATGTGTCCCCACCAGCTTATGAGATCATTTGCCCAGGAACATTAGTGAATTCATACCCCATCCCCTGCAGCTAAGGCCACTTCTGTGGACTGGGGCTGAGGCCGAGTCTCCTCTACAAAAGCAGAGTAGGGAACTAAGGGTGTATTTTCTATTACTCAGGACCAAGACTCCAGATAATTTCAGTGAAGTTGGGTTTTTCTCACTGGAATTGCTTTAGTTTGAGCATGCCTTCCTGAAGTGAGTTGGGGTAAGTTGTTGCAGCTTGGGCTACCACTGGGCCGCACTGCTTGTTCGTCTTTGGAGTTGTGTCGGGTGGTCTTGAGATGGCGTGGAGCAGTCATGGCTTCCTCCTTGAGCTGCCCCACTTTGCTAGAAAATGTCTTCTGCGGCTGAGCCACCAAACAGCATCGATCCGTGGGCACCACCTTCCACATGCCCGTGCCTACCAGACACACTCAGCAGAGCTGTCACTTGCTCCTTCCTCCCAGGGTGATAAACTGGGAACAGGGCTGGAATGGCATAGGCTTAGACAAGACTTGCTTTGGACTCTGAAAAAATTGTTTTTCCTTCCCTTAAGATGTGGCTGAAGAGCCAGATCTTGGCTGGGCTGTTGGTCCTGGGTTTGATGACAGTAACGTTGATGTGGTGGTTGCTCCCAGGTGCCATCATCACCCATGGCCTTCCTGGATCCTTGTTATGTCCCAGATGAAGCTTTAAGAGATGACACATTTGAGAGGGAAGAAAGGACGTGTTTTTGGAGTCGAAGCTCCACTACCAGAATACTGGGTCCAAATACAGAATACTGGGTCCAAAAGGTCACCAATAGGCTGGGTTTCTGGTTGGGAAGGAGTCTCTCCGTGTGTCTTTCTGTGTTTAGGAAGGGAGGTCGAGGCAGGGCAGGGTCAGACAGCACTGCCATGGGGAGCAGGCTGTCCATTTCCTGGTGATATCCTTCCATCCAAAGAGGGTGTCCCAGAACAGGTGGCCAGGGACGGGGTGACTGGGGAGGGCCAGGAGAGAGACCTCTGCTTGTGTGAGGAAGGACAGCTAAGCTGGCGTAGAAGCACCGTTAGACTGTCTCCAAAGTTTCTGCAGCACCCTGAAGGTGAACTAGTGCTTTCAGACCTTCCCTGACACCTAAGCCTTGGTCCTAGGAAAGAAAAAAATTAATCCAAAACTAGTAAAATACTTGAGCGAATTTTGTCAGTGTCTCTCTGTCAGATCCCTACAGTGGGCCTGCAGTGGAATCCTCACAAAGTCCAGGTATTTGGGTGGTGGCTCTTTTCTTTATCTAAACTCTTTCCTGATGGAGAGCTTCCCACATAGAAGGAACCCCTGTGTACCCACCACCAGTGCCAGCAATCACCAGATCTTGGCCAGTCTCAATTCAACCATCTTCCCAACTGCCCACCCACGCTGAGTTATTTAGAAGATCCAGGCATTATAGCTTTTCATCTATAAATGTTTTTGTGCACATCTCTAAAGATAAGGACTCTTGAAAAACTCAACCACAATACCACTATCATACACATTTAAAAATCAGCAATTTTTTTTAGTATTATCAGCTACCTGGTTAATGTTAATTTTTTGTTTATAGTTTGTTTGAATCAGGATTCATATAGGGTCGGCCCTGCATTACAATGGGTTGAACAGTCTCTAAAGACTCATCATAATCTCTAGGTGGTTCTCTTCCTCTTCCTTAGTCTTGATTTCTTTTCTGGCAGTTGTTGTTGAAGGAACCAGGTTGTTTGTCCTCTGGGGTTTCCTCAGCTGGACTCTGCAGGCTGCGCTGCCCCTCGTGTGCTGCTCTGAGAGCAGATATTCAGCCTCCCTCCTTGCCTTCAGGTCCTGGGACAGCCAAGCTTGGCCTTACCTGTCGCAGGAAATGGGTTAGCACCCAAGGATTTGTCTAAGTGAACTTTTTCACCTGTGGGGCTGCCTTCTCAGGTATGAGAGCCTCCTGGTTTCAGGACTCTAGTTTAGGACTTGGGGCTTGGTAGCAAGCACTAGTTTTCAGGTCTGAGGAGGGCTGCCCATGTCCTTCTTTGGCCGTGGAGGGCATTGTTCAGCTGTGTCCATACTGCAAAGACGGGGTTGGTGCCAGTGAAGTTCCCCAAGCCTTCACTGGATGCCCAACCCACTGTTGGCTCTGGGACGGGTATGTGGGAGGGTCCACAAGAGTACCCACCACTTTCTCCGGGTCCACCCCCACAGGATGTACCCTGTGTCGCCTCATCCATCGCCTCCTTTTTCAAGGCCTAGAAATGCCACCAGTCTGCATCTTTGAGGCAGCGCCATCTGGTGCCAGGGCTGACAAAGACTGCAGGGCCTTGGAACTGATGCCTAAAATTAGCAAGATCTACAGATTATCTTTTAACCCAATGTAGGGTCCCCTTTAGAACATTCCAGAAGAGGTGTCACTGTCGTTCAAAGGTCAGCTTTGGTTGTTGTAAAATTCTTCCATTCTTCTATGTCTAGCTCATAGGATGGTTCCGGGGATTAAACCGGCTAATACGTAAAGACACTGGCACGTAGCAGGACGGCAGCTGCTGTGATTAGGAACAATTCTTATGATTTAGGGAGCTCATGGCTGACCCTCTGTCCCTTTGCTTGTTGATCTTGTTTTTCTCCTGGGATGACCCAGGTGAAAGCTGATTTTTCTGTAACAGGACAGCATTTGAAATGCCAAAGGCAGCTCCTATGTCTCCCTTCCACCCTTCTCCTCAGGAAGCTGTCTCCTCTCCAGCCTGAATATCACCAGTCCCTAATGCCTCCCACATTTCACATGGCTCCTAGTGCCCTTGCCATTTTAGTTACCACCTCCTGCAGGCCCTCTGGTTTGTTTTAGTCCCTCTGATTTGTAAAATTTCTGAAACTGGAGTGTCCAGAATTGAACACAGAAACTCCAAGCATGATCAGATCCTAGCCAGCCATGGTGACTATATAATCTTCAGTGCCTTCCAGCTACATACTGTGCAGGGCTCAGTGCAAAATGAAAATGTGGGGCTCCTTGTTCAGAATTTTTAGGAATGACAGCACGACATCAGAGCATTTAACTAAGCGTGGGTGGCACGCAGGTTGCACACCTGTGAAGCTGGCCCAGGCCGCCTTTGCTTTGGACATTCTGTGACTCTTAATACAACTTGGGGTGCTGGGTCTGGGTGGTGTGAAACAATGATGGGGCTCAGGCTGGCCTCAGAGGGGGGGCATGACCCCAAAGAGGAGAACAGAAATGCCCAAACATAGTCCTTGCCCTTGGTCTTATTCTCAGACTCTTTTGACCACCTGCTCTTGTCCCTTTTGTTCATAGCGCTGTCCACCCAACCAGCCGAGAGCCCCCATTGCCTACAATATGTAGGGGGTGCCTCGGTAGAGCACTTGCCCTGCTGGCTGAATTGGAGGCTGTGGCATGAGGGGAAAAAGAGTCACCCTTGTCGGAGCTTGAGCCGGCAAAGCACCGACTGTGAATGAGCCAGAGGGGACCTAGGGGCCTGATCCCATAATTATGGGCAGTGACCAGCTGTGCCCCATTGCTGACCCAGAGGAAACAGGGCTACTCTGCAGCAGGAGGGCTAGGGTCCAGAGGCACAGAAGGACTTCCTGAGAACTTGGTTTACTTTTTGGGGTTTCTAAAGCATGGTAGAATTTCCTTTATCCATGAAATACACCCTCAGTGAACTTGCCGTGAGCAAGGCCCTGGCCTAGGGGTTCCTAGATATCTAAGAATAAGAGAGTCTTGCATGTGCCTGGCAGGCTTTGGGTAAATGTCTTCTAGAAGATGTCTTGAAGGCTCCCTCCCATAGGCATAGGCATGAACCTGGGGTGACCCATGCTAGAGGGGAGGGAAGGCCCAAAGGGCCTTTTCTGGGGGATAGCTCACAGTGGGCTGTGAAGGGGGAAGCAAGGACCTTCTTGGTCACCTTCTAGTGTTACAGAGACCTGGGATGCCAGAGGAAGAGTGGGTTAGAAGGGGTAATGAGGCCAGTGCCACGTTCTCTCTCTGTTCTGGCATCCTGTAGCAGCTGGGCATAGGGGACAGCTGAGTGTCCCCCTTTCTGCTTAGGGAAGAAGGTGACTCCTTTCCCACCCCTTTTTCTCTTTGCCCTGTCGGTCCCGCCCCCCCCCGCCCCTCTGTCTCAGGAGCTGCCACGCTTCAGTTATTTTATCCTTCAGTGTCCGATTCAGAAGTCTTTTCAAAGGCCCCAGCCGTGTCAGCGCGGTGCTTGCACAAAAGGCCTCTTTGATTTCTTGTTTGTTTTCATTTGCCAGTGGAGGGGGAGGGGGCAGGAGAGAAAGAGCTTCTGGGTTTTAAAATTTTTATTTGGGTTGCTTCATTCTCAGAGGAGTTGGCTCCCTGGAACTCTTTTCTGAGTTGGGGGCTTGGAGTTGAGCGGCGGCCTTCTGAAGAGAGGGCTAGTGTAGGAATGGGGGGCTGGGTGGGGCTCCCAGGATGATAGGAGGAGGTGGAGGGGTTTATAGTTACTGATTCACCCTACGAACACTTTGGGCAGCTCTTACATGCTAACCCTGAGGGTAGTAAGGGTCAGGTTGGAGCCCTGCCTCTTGGGTAGAGGAAAGGTCTGAGGTGTCTGGCACATGCCATTCCCCTGTATGTTGCATCTTTCGAGGAGGACTCCTTACAGCTGTGGATTTGCACAGTCGTGAACTTTGACTTTGTTATTTTTTCTTTTTTTGTCCCAGATTCCGCCTTTGAAGGGGGTTCTACTAGCATACACACTTCTTGGAGACTCAGTATCTCAGAATACAGGTTGGGGCATCCCACTTTACATCAGAGAATGAGGGAGAGGGAGTGAAAGGTTTATAGAGCAGCAATGTGGTCTTCCCGGGAATGGGGTGCAGAGGACCTGAGCCCACAGCTTGTTTTGGACTTTGAGGGCAGGTCAGTGCTGCTGAGACCCTGGTGAGTAGGCAGTTGAGGCTGAAAAGAGATAAAGGCCACACTTGTCCAAGGTTTGGAACAAGAGACACCCAAACCAGTGCCTGTTGGGGTACGTACCTTAACACATGTGGGCACGTCCCTATATCCCAGTAAGAAGAGGTGCAACCTGCTGGTTTACAAGCCCATGTGGAGACCTAATTGTCAGGCTTGGGAAGAGAGCGCCACAACGGAGGCTTGGGCAGGTGGTCATGGGCATCAGCAACAGGGAAGTATGCCCACTGGGTGAGGGGGGGCTCTGAGGGCCTGGTTGGCAGACGGGAGGAGGAGGCTGGGGGGCCGAGAGATAGATAAATATAGCTGATGGCATTTCTGATGATAGGTTTTTCTTGGCACTGAGGGCACCGTGGAAAACAGCACGACAAACACCCGGCCCTGCAGGCCGCCGTCGCCATTTCAAGCATGTTTGAGTTTAAGGGTTGTTGGCGTTGGAATAGGGTCCCAGGAGGCTCAGGGCCCGGGGAGGGGAAGTTTGGCTGGACTGGACCTTACCCTCCTAGGTGCCTGGGTTCCTTAATTTGTCTGTATGGATATCTCATACCTTATTTCCTGGCCCTTTGGGGATTTAGAAGATATTCTGGGGCTGCCCTTTATGGGTCTGTCCCCCAAGTGACTTGTTCCACCACCAACTGCTGTGGTCTATCAGTAGGGGGCATCTTGGCTCTTCTCTCACTTCTGATGCCTTACTGATGACATTCAGTAAGGCATGCCACCACCACACCAGTACAGGGCACTTATTTGCTATTATTTGGGGACACCCAATAACTTAAGGGGCACCTATTTGTCCAGGCTCCCAACAACTTCTTGTTCTCTGTGGACTGAGGAAGGGGCATGCCCTTGGTCTCTATTTTAATTCCATTTTGCCATTGAAGCCCCGCTGTGGCTTTAGCACCGGGCTGAGTTCTCTCTATGTATTCCCCAAATTCTCACCCCGATTCTAGTTTTAAAACTGTGCTCCTGGCTGGGTGTGTGTGCACTCAGGTGACGTGCATAAGGGTCTCTCTGTGTAGTGAGGAATCAGCAAACCAGACCTGGGGACCAGGGAGGTTTCCTAGATGACCTGCTTGACCTGCACCTTGAAAGACAGGAATTAGCTCGTTTTTGTCAGCTGACTGAGCCCTTTCAGTGTGCCTGGAGCTGATTTCCTCCTTACAATGGTTGAGTGATATAGACAGGGCAGGTATTATTATATCCACTATACAGAGGAGGGACCTGAAGTACAGAGATGTCAGGGGACTCTGATCACGTGATGAGTTTCTGGCAGAAGGGGCCTGGACTCCAGGTTTATGGTCACTGAGTACCTCGGGCTCACTCTGCAGGCATTGCTGCTCCTTGAACTTCATCAGGATTACTGGCTTTGGCAGAGTCTCAGAGGAGAAAACCTCATGGGTCCCCACTGGAGCCAGTTTCATCACTGTGGTCTCTGTCACTCTCTAGCAGAGAAACCAGCTTGTGGCGCAGCTCAAGGGCTCCCCCAGTGGCTGAGCACATGGGGTGGAAACAGAGAGAGGGCACCTGGCCCTGTCCTGACACTGGCCTCCCTCTCTCCTGACAGGCCATGGCTCCCTGGCTCCCTGCCGCCGATTTCTAGAGGCAACATGCTAGCATAGATGGGCTGAGCCTAGCATAGACAGGGGCCAGACTGGCTGGACACTCTCACCCTGCTGCTGCCAGCTCTGCTTCTTTTCATACTTCCCTAGAGCAGCTGGGAGGGGTCCAACCCGACCTTCTCAGGTAGAGGGGGCAGGAAGTCCAGGTGTGAAGCCAGGCAGGTTCTGCTAGACCTTGGGATTCCCGATCCTTGCTCAGTCACACCCTTTTCCTGGGAGTGTGCTTGGAATCACAGTTTGAAATAAAAATAAATTTAATTATCCTAATTAACCAGGTGATCGATGGAAGTTTTGCAGTAATCTGCTATTCATTGCCTTTTTTGCTCCTTCACATCGACTGTCACCTTTACCCCTTTCTTAAAGTTAAAAAACTCTCTGGCTGTGTATATAAAAACTCTCCCAGCATGACTAGGGCTGGGTTCAGGGAGAGGCTGGCTCACCACTCTAGATTTTCGTCTGTGTCCATTGCTAATTAGACAGAGGCTTATCTCTCACCGTTGATATCAGCTGCCCTCTAGCAGGGTTTCCTAACTTCGGCACTGTTGACGTTTGTGTGAGTTCATTCGTTGTCG